ATGTATTTTGTGATTTTTATTCAGACTTGAATTTAGAACATTAGATTAAAATCGTCCTCTTCAATTTCAAGAAACCCATTAAAACGAAGGCGAGCATGATTTTTAATTGACGGTAGCCACGGCGTTTTGGTGTATCGGCCACAATAGGCAATGTTTTTGTTGCAACGCACTTTGGCGAAAATATCTGGTGGGATTTTTTCTACCGACCAAATAAATTCGTGATTCAACAGACCAGTCCCTCGTAAAAAGTAGTCCAATTCCATGTTAAGTGTTGTTGGTCGTGGCAAAAATGAGTATGTTTTGGGTACATTTATCAAACTTTCTTCCGGCACCCAACTCTGAATCTCGTTGTCATAAACCACATTTTGTTCGCTTTCCTCATCAAAAATGCGTACGCAGTTTTTGAATCTTGTTGAACTGATCGGTGCTTTCAAATCGTCAAATAATTGTCCAAGAGTTCCCATTCGCAAATACTCCCGGCGTGCCTTTTTGCCTTGTCGTGGGCTTAGAAGCTTATGAAAATTTGGTTTGTATTTTTTAGCCTTCGAAAAAAATAAGATTTTTGATTTCAAAATGGCTACGAAATTTGTCAAATAAATATTTCCAACAATTTAATTTTGCCAAAAAGTAAAATAAATTATAATCTTGGTTGTAATACATACCATTTTATATCTTGTTTTATATTCAGTAAAACTGGTGAAATTTTTATAAATCACGGCAATAATATTGTTTTTTTTTGAAAAATTGATACTTAAAAGTAAGCAATGTCCAATCAATTTGGCAGCGTCTTTAAAATAGTGCGTCTTATTGAAAATGACCGTACACAACACAGTTACGCTCTAGGTTACGCTTGTATGTGCGACATTCAAAATGGCCTGCTGCTTGTCAAATAAACGTATCATTGACAATTATGTAAACGCGGTGAGAACTTTGGTGTGTAGAAAAGAACAGAAAATGGCAGCAAATGTTGATACATATCAATGTTCAATTTGTCGTGATTTATTGTGGTCTGAACAAATAAGTACAATTTCGACGTGTGGCCACACATTTCATGATGAATGTATACGGTGGTGTTTACACACGTAAGTCTTAATAATTTTATGGGAATATTTTTTAACAAAGAACTTCGTGAAAAAGTGAGTCTGCTGTCAAATGTCAATATTTTATCGAACCCTTCTATGGAATTACTTAGTACCAAAAAGTGGCGCCACTGTACATTGCATAGAAGGGTTCGATAATATATTGACGTTTGACAGTAGACTCACTTCATATGAAGAAAAATCACCAACTCCTTTCATCAAAGACAAATAATTAGATACAAACAATCTTACAAACAATATGATTCGTGTTTCGTCATATTTTATAGAGATGAACGATGTCCGCTGTGCCGTTTAACTTCAAATCGTAGAAATTTAGTAAAATTGATTTTCACAAATGGTTCTGATTTGGATACAAGACCAACAACGACAAAAACAGAATGCACAAAAATGAATAAAGCAACCCTTGAAGCAACTACATCAGCATTCAAACCTTCATTATCAGACGATGTTAAAGAAAGAGTGGCATCTAATGTGGCATTCTTGAAAGACTCCAACTTGAGCCTAGACTTGAGCTCTGATGACGAACCCATTGCACAGACGTCATCCACAAGCGAACATAACATTGAAAAGAACGGAGCTATTGTGGATCATCGCAAATCACGAAACAAAACAACAACTGATTATTTTCGATACAATTATAGACAATGCGTTATTTGCGAAATGAATTTCACAATAACAAGTCAATCAGATCTTGATGTTTGTACAAAGTCTTGCAAGAAATTACAAAAATAAAGTAATCAACAATGAGATAAATTGTCCTAATTTCTTTTCTTATTTTACCAAAAATTA